ACCCTGGGATTCTTTTGACCCTCAGACCCGGGGGGAAGAAATGCCTAATGCCTTTCTGTACTCAAACCTGACCCAAATACCAGCAGGAGGATGGGGAGAGAGGGCTCCTGAGGGAAACAGGAACAATAACACCATCTTACAATTGGAGTTGCATGACCAATTGCCCAAACCAGTTTGAAACCAGAGGTGGGAAAAAAATGGGCTTTTTTTGAACTCTGGGATTGCTGGAGGACTTTTCTTGAACTCTGGGATTCTACTCTTTCAGTAAGTTCCTTCCTAAATACTACAGAAAGGGGGAGACCAAGGGGAAGGAGATCTGGAAAGGCCGGTTGCTCCAGGTCTAGGCCTTTTGAGAATGCTTAAAATGTCTACCTTTGGCTTTGAAAATAACGTAGCAGGTGTTACCCCAAATTTAAGGGACTCAGCTTCAGGAAACTCACATGATTGGCCCAGGAATGTCTGAAAACACCCTAATTCCTGCAGGGTTTTATCTTCAGGCACAGGAGATTAAAAAAAAAAATCCTGGAGTTGTAGCTTAGTGGTAGGGTGCTTGCCTAGTACGCATGAAGCACTAAGTTCAATCCCCAGCCCCACATAAAAATGAACAAATAAAATAAAGGTGTTGTGTCCCCCTACAATTAAAAATAAAATAAAATAAATCCTGTTGGAGGAAAAAAATAAAAGGATATGATGCTATATGTACAAGTTTATTTTTCTTTAAAAACATTTTCCTGAGAACTTCATGGGTCCCCATATTCTTTTTTTTTAAACTTTTTTATTAGTTGTTGATGGGCCTTTATTTTTTTATTACTTATTTATATGTGGTGCTGGGAATCGAGCCCAGTGCCTCACACATGCTAGGCAAACGCTCTACCACTGAGCTATAACCCCAGCTCCCCCGACATTCTTTAAATATCTGGTTGACAACTTTGATCCAAAAGTACACTCTGGTCTGACAAAGACGTTCCACATGAAGCAGCTGGGGACAGTGGTGCACACCTGTAATCCCAGAATGTGATAGTCTGAGGCAGGAGGATTGCATTTCGAAGCCATCCTCAGCAAACTAGCAATGCCCTAAGTAATTTAGTGAGACCCTGTCTTGAAATAAAGAAATTAAAAGGGCTGGTAATGTGGCTCAGTGGTTGAGTATACCTAGGTTCAATACCTGTATAAAAAAAATAAACAATCAATAAACCCAACATGTTCCATATGGTCCTTTTCTAGATTAATTATGGCCATTACATTTTTTGGAGAATTATCTGTCTTTTTTTTTTTAAGCTCACTTTTTCTGGTGAATTCACCTTTAATCCTGTGAGATTTTATATATATAGCTTTAGTCAGATTTTTCACTGCTGTGACTGAAAAATCTGACCAGAACAATTTTAGGAGGAAAAGTTTATTTGAGGACTCATGGTTTCAGAGGTCTTAGTCCATAAAAGGCCAGCTCCATTCCTCAGGGCTCCAGGTGAGCAGAACATCATGGTGGAAGAGTGTGTCAGTGGGATTCAGCTCACATGGAGATCAGGAAGCAGAAAGAGAGGTCTCCATTTACCAGATACAAATATGAACCCCAAAGCCATGCCCCCAATTCCCACCTCCTCCAGCCACACCCCACCACTTCACTTCCTACTCAGTTAATCTCTATCAGGGGATTAATTCATTCATTGTGTTAAGACTCTCACAACCCAATCATTTCTCCTCTGAACCTTCTCTCATTGTCTTACATGTGAGCTTTTGGGGGACACCACATGTAAACCATAAAATTCCATCCTGGCCCCCAAAATCCCACACTCATCTGACAATGCAAAATACAGTTAGTTCATTCCCAAGAGTCCCCGATAGTCTCAATAGTTCCGAGATTGCTCAAAGTTCAAGTCCTAAGTCTTCTCTGAGGCTCAAGGCAATCTTGCATGGTGAGCTCCTATAAAATTAAAAGCAATTTACAAGTATCCAGTATATAAAGGTACAGAGTAAACATTTCCATTCACAAATAAGGGATGTAGAAAGAAGAGATAGGACCAAAGCAAGACTGAAATCCATCTGTGCAAACAAGTGCTATAGCTCCATGTCTGGCATCTGGGGTACATGGCATCTTGATGTTTTTTTTTCCAAAGGGCTTGTGTAGCTCCAGATCTGTGGCCTTGGTTGAAGGATATGGAAATGACAGCCTGAAATGACAACTCCCCAAGACAGTGTGTGGCCTGGGAGGAGAGTGGGAGGGAGAAGCCAAAACATTGATCCTTCCCCTGAGAAGGAGATAACCATCAGTTGCTGGGAAGAGGGCAAGTATTGATCCTTTCCAAGGTAAAATTTAATAACAGTGAAATGACACCTTAATCCTGTCTCTGTGACAATACAATGAACTCTGGAGGACAAGATTAAAAATTGAACACTGAGCTCTGAACCCTCCACCTTGCACTGTAAATACTCAGCCTAGTAAAAACAGTTTCCAGTAAAAAACAAGTTCCAAATGTTTGCAACCTTTTACTCACGTCCTGTTAAAGTCTTTAAGGGCTGAGTCACTTCCCAATGTAACCTATATAAACCCATAGACTTTCTGTAACTGGGGGCCATTTTCTACCCAGAAAATGAGCCCCTCTGATGGCTGACTCTGATGCTAAATAAAAGGCACAGCTGATCCATGAAGTCTGCTCCTGTCCTGGTTATTTGTGCTTTCATTATGGGGCCAAAACCATTTTGATTATTTTTGTTTACATTGTTGGTTGCATCCCGAGCAGCCTTTCCGTTGACTTGCCTCTACTCAATACCTGCAGCTTTCCTAGGATGATGTCCCACATTACTGGCATTTCTTACTCTTGGGAGTCTCCACTGCAACTTTGACTTCCTCCTCACATCTCCACACTTTGCCCTCTCAGGGGGAGCCCACAGGTACTACAAGCCTGTTGCACTTTGCCTGGCCTCCCAGGCCTTCCTTTGAAATCTTGAAGGATGCCTCCATGAACTCCTAACTCCAGCATCCTGCAGTCTGCCGAACCAGCCCACGTGGTTGAAGCCAAGGTCTGCCACCATCTTGAGCAGGATAGATATAGTACAATGCTAATTTCTAGTACTTATATTGATGCTAGTTAAACAACAGAGATAACTGTAAAATTACAGACATTAAAGTTAAGACCCATTACTCCCACTTAAAGACTGACGAGACTGGCCTCGTGGATGTTTTGAAACCAAAATTTGAAGCCTAAATGCAAGAAAGTTTAAAAGGCTCAGGAAAAAAATGGCCAATATTTTGGTCCTTGCCTCTTAGGTTAGCCAAAACACATGGAAAAATGGGTCCCCACTAAGGGCTTTGCCATGCCAGTGAGTCACCTGATCTCCTGACTGGGGGACTGATAGGATACTAGAGGACAGGAAGCCAACCAGCGCACATTGTGTAAAGGGAAGGGTCCTGATGCTTCCAAAGAAACCACAGGTGGTCAGGTCAGCAAGACTCTGATCCATCCTGGCAGATGGTATGACTGATAAAGGAAGGGAGACAAGAGGCTTCTCACAAGGTCCCAAGAGTGACCCTTGACAAAGGTCAGCTGACTATTAACAGTAGATAGGAACAAGGTCATTTTTTTTTTTTTTAGGTGCTAAACACCTGGCAGGAGAGTACAACCGAAACACAGTCGTATGTGGACATTTAGAAGAAGAGACAAATATATATATATATACATATAAAATATGAGATGCACGCTTGTGTCCATTCTCTCTAAATAAAGGGAGAGTTCTTATACAGGAGTGCCTGATAACTATCCTAAAAGGCTCCGCCAGAGTCCACAGTTTGTTCCAAGTCAATTTGAGACCTATACATCTTCCTAACCTCCTATAAATATATAGCTAAGCTTGATCATTTTTTCACTGGTATGATTATTTAGCCCCAATATTTATACTTCTAAAAGATATGTGACACATGGAAGCCCTAAGTAACTTTTATGTTAGAGTTCTGCACGATATAGCTAAAGGGGATCCTTCTGCCAAATGGAGGTAACACTAATGAAAAAGCTGAGAACTCAGACGGCATTAGCTACCTTAACTACAGCTCAAGAAGATGCCTAAGCCATTATAAAAACTTAAAGTTGTGTATACGTTTCTAACGATTCTGAATGGTCTGCCACTCACAAATCAGTGGCATGTTAGACCCCACTCTCAATGAGTCTCTGTCTTTGCAGTTTTCAGGGGATGGCTGATAGTACTGATTGCTTTTCTGCTGATTGTTTACAAAAAAAAAAAAAAAATCATGCTTTGCTATCTTGTATGTTATTTGTCTTATCATGATCCCTGCCCTTGTGGGCCTCATCCAACTGCCACCAGAGACCTCTGGACTGCCCTGATGTGTGAGGTGCCCAAGCTATAAATGACTGTTAGGTCGGTGGCGGCGACTTGGTGGCGACTTAGAGGCAACTTAGAACAAAGCAGCCCGCCTGGGAAAAGAACATTAATCAGATGCCGACGGAAACGCCTGTCAATCAGCCAGATCTCCTGACTAACGTCTGTCAATCATCAGGACCCCCTGGTCAATCCTGGAGTTCAACCAACTCCCCTGACCAACTCCAAGGGGGCAAAGGACCCTAAAAACACCTTTTCCTGTCCCAAGCCCTTCCCTTCCTGCTGTAAGCCCCATAAAAGTCCAGTCTGGTCAAGCTTCCACGCGGTTTCTCCTCAGACCCTTCCCCTGTCCCTTCTGTGGGTCTGATTGAGTTCTGCCCCAGAGTGATATCTCAATAAAGCCTGTTCAGCGGCCCTTTTAAATCTGCCTCCTTTGGCCGCTGCCTGCCTCAGCTGATCTGACAATGACCTTATAGATAAAATCCAAAAATTCCTTCTCCTGAGAATTCATATATAGGCCTCTGTAGCAGGACCTGACTGCTGTTCTGCTTTGAACATCCCTTTTTCAGTCTAAAGTACCAGAGTAGTCATTGCCCTTTTTTCCTAAGGACAGCTAGGGACATGTTTTCAGAGGGAAATGCATAAGATAGGATAATGTGTCCCGATTGAAGTTTTTTTTTTTTTTTTTAATGTAAAGTCTATGAGGTTGACCTGTAGAAACACTCTAAACATTCCAGCCAACTCATTTGTTGCAGGATGATGGAAATAGGGAGGCAGGACAGACCTGAGACTCAAGAGCAACCAAGAGAACTCATATTTTCCCAATACTAGTGCAGCATACTTTGTTTTTTTTTAAATAAGTGCTCCTACTAATTTAAAAAACAAGCCAATCTGTCTTTTCTGTCAACCCAGAGAAGCTCTGTTCTAAATCCCCTTGCTTCCTGAAGGCCATCTTCTTACAATAACTGTCTATAAAACATCTTCACTCCCCTCCCTCTTCACTTCCCCAGTACCTGTGCACATGCCCAGAGGCACTCACCCCAGGGGAAATTTCCCACCACAAGGGAACAAAGGGAGGTGGGGACAACTAAAAGGTATTTCTTTAAATAATCCAATAGGAAATAGTACAGTGGGCCCTACCACTGTAGGGTTGACAGAAAAGACAGATTGGCTTGTTTTTTAAATTGGTAAGAGGGTAATGATTAAGTACCCTCTTTCCTCAAAAGCTATTCATGCCAAAGATTGTGAGGTCAGCTCCAGCAGTGGGCAACAACCCAGTGCCTGTGTCAGCAATAAATGCTGAACAGATTGCTTGCTCAGTGCGACTGCTTTTGGCTTTGGTGGCTATGCACCCCTTCTGCCCATGGAAGTAAAATTCTTACCCTATCCACAGAGCTGATTAGTCTCTGAGTGTTTATTTTGACCCCCCAAATTGCCATATAAACCCCTGGGCTAATATATCTAAGTGGAAAAACTGCTTTCAGGCCCCCTGTCACCTTGCCAGAGATCTGTTTCTTCTATTTAAATGAATCCTATTTCTTTCACTCTTGACTTCTGTTGTTGCCCACGGATTGGATTCATTCTTCAAATTTGCAAGATAAGAACACAGAAAGAAATTGGTGGTGAGCTTCCTGGGTCTGCCATTAAGAGCTGGAGCATCCTCTTCCATGGTAGTGGAGAATCTGGCTTTGCCTGCTGAGACCCTTGGAGATGAGGCCAGCAGGCATCCCTTGCTGTGATTAGCTGCTAAGGCTAAAATGGGGTTTCTTGGCTGTGGTAGCTTGCAACTTACACAGACCCCACCCATCGGCAAAAGCAGAAAATTGAGTTTTGTCTCAAACTCTATATTTACCATGCTATCCCTTGGTATGCTCCTCCTAGCCCCTGGGACCCACCTTGCAGAGCCTGCTGGACTCCTTCTTCCCCTCCTTCTGCAGAGAGGTCCTACTCCGAAGGGTTCCTGTGCTCTGGCTCCATCTTCCGGCTCAGAGTCTTTGTCCTGGGCAGCAAGGCCTCCTTGTATGTTCAACCTCTCTTCCTCTCCACTCTGCTCAGTGTTTTTTTCATTATACAAAATACCTGTATGAAGATGTGAATTTGGTGTCAACATACCTTATATACAAACAGAGATATGATAAATTGTGGTATAAAGGTGTATTAAGAATTGTAATGCAAAAAGAGAGTTCATGTATAATGGCATAATCTGGCATGAATATACTTTATATACAGAGTTACGAAAAATTGTGCTGTGAGTGGATAATTATGAATGTTAAAGCATTCCACTATTGTCATGTATGTAAAAAATAAATAAAAAATAAATAAAAAATAAAAACACTACATACGTCTCATATTTCCAAAATATCTCCCTTGTAGCTCCCATCTGACTTCCAGTTCTTAATAGTCAAACTGTAATTAAGCTTATAGACAGTCTTAGTCAAGGGGTATCTCTGTGTTAGCATATTCACAAGTGTATTTTCAAAAAGGAAGGGACCATGGGGCTGTGGCTGTGGCTCAGTGGTTGAGCATTTGCCTCACGTGCGTGAGGCACTGGGTTTGATCCTCGGCACCACATACAAAAAATAAATAAATAAAACAAAGATACTGTATTCATCTACAACTAAAAAAAATTTTAAAAAAAGGAAGGGACCGACCAGATGGATAAACACCAACATACAATATCCATCCTATGCCTTTCAGAATTATGATTCTATTTAATGTTAGCATATAAAAATGATTTTTTCCTGTAATTTCTGTAGAATTTTATCTGAAGATAAAATTTTAGCTCCAGATGTAGAAAACTGAGAATGACAAATCTTTAAAGTGTCATGAGAACAATAGCAGATCCCAGGGGAGGTACTGCACGCACATGTGTTTGTTTGTGTGCACCTGGTGAGATAGTCTTGCTCTGGACAAACCTGCAGGGCAATTCACATGGAGGCCTAAGGCTGTAACCTAACTCTGAACAAGGTCCAGGAACCTGAGCTGTGTGCATGAACCCTATCTGAACTTGGAGGCAGCATTTGCAACAGGGAATGCATTCTGCAAGCCCAAGTGGTATGGCCTCAGAGCTCCCCATATTCACAATGACTTGCAGAATATGTGACTTCTCTGACTTGATAGGGATGAGGTGACCTTTGCCTGTGCTGCTCCACCCCCACCCAATATCTTGTCCCAGTGGTGGGAAACCTTTATCGACATGCTGGGTTCACACCCTGCAGTCCCAACAAAGTCTTAGCTAATTTCCAAACTTTACTTCCTGCAGAGCAACAATCTTGCCCTTTAACATGTAAACCCATTTCATTTTTAGTTCCACTCACCTATTTTCATATTTCCATTATGTCTTTTAAGATCCTTTATACAGGTACAATCAACAACGATACAATTTATCTCACCTCTCTTTGTTTTGAAATGGTCCCCGGCTACTCAGGAAAAAAGCTGGCAATCTATTTGGGTAGGATGTTATCCTGATGAGGGATGCAGGATGCAGATCCCAGAGTGGCCTCAAAAGCCATTTGAGTCACCCTCTGATACCAAGAGTACACATGGGTCAGGAGTCAGGGTCAGGCTAAAATACAGGGACCTGAACAGTTGAGGATTGGCCCTGGCCCAGCTCTGTCCTTTTTGATGTCCTCTAGGGTATTCCCTGAACCTCCTCCTGTCTCCCTTCTAACAGGGGAGGTGCCAATGGCGGCATGAGCCCTTTGAACCCCAGGGAACTGGGCTGAGCGATGGGAGGATGTTGGGAAGAGAGAAAACCCTTGCTCTTGTCACCATATGTCCGGTCTCCAAGTGCACTGCCAGCTCCTGGTGGACCCCGTGGGGGTTTATTGGTGGGTGGAAAGCTGCTGGAAGACAGAGCCTTGCCTTCGGCTTCAGGGCCCACAGATTTTCTCCTTGCCCTATGGGGCTGAGGCTGGATAGGATCTTAATCCTGTCTCCCCTTAGGGACAAATGGAGCTAGGCTTCAGGTTTCCGGGAAGTCTCTCAGGGGAGGGCGGTGCATAAGAGGGGCAGGGCGGGACTGACCACCCGGTCCCGCCCCTGCTTTCTCTGAGCGCTGTGATAAAGCCTGGGCATAGTCCCACCGAGGCCAGCCGGCTCTGTTCACGAGCGCCAGCACCATGCCTATGACACTGGGTTACTGGAACATCCGCGGGGTGAGCGAGGGTTTTTCCTGGCGCCTGGAAGGGGAGGCGAGGCGGGGACCAGTGGAGCAGATGGGGTGCAGTTGCACCGGGTGGATCCAGTTCTGGATTTGCTGGGTTCGCCGGCAGGGGGTCTCAGCGCTCAGCTCTCAAGCTTCTGAGAACGTGTACGTGTTTACGCATTAGCTTGCTTGCACGTGAGTGTGCGTGCTTGGGAATTGGTGGCCACAGGGGCGGGGAGGGGGGTAGTCACCCGGAGGAGATGAAGTCATACAGCAGGGGTCTCTAAATCTCTGACCTGCACCTTGGGCCCTCTCTCCCAGCTGGCTCACCCCATTCGCCTGCTCCTGGAATACACAGACTCAAGCTATGAGGAGAAGAAATACACCATGGGGGACGGTAATGGCACCCCTCAGGTTCAGGTCCCTTCCGGGCTTCTGTTGATTAGTGCCCAGCAACTCAAGCTCTGCTATTCTGACTACACAGAACTGGTGTTGAGTTCTCTGGAAACTCCTCCTGCTGGACTCTTTCCCAAAATGACTGGGGAGGGTGCAACGTGATCTTGTAACACAGGATTTGGGGAGTGGAGTTTCTAGTTATCCCTCTGTTTATGTTTGGCTTGGGATCCCTATTAAGGCTTGTCAAAACCATGTGAAAGCCCCTTAGTCATGTAGGTCCAGGACCCCTACTACAGATTTCTCCTCCACCCTCCTCCTCCCAAACCTTGGGATCTAAGATAGTGGCTCAGATTCCAGATTCACCATCTCCAGGGTCTTGTCCCTGACCCGTTGGGAGCATCCTGGGAAAGGGAAGTTGGACTCAGGAGAGGTTTGTTTTCACATCATCTTCTCCCCCACAGCTCCGGACTATGACAGAAGCCAGTGGCTGAATGAGAAATTCAAGCTGGGCCTGGACTTTCCCAATGTAGGTGTGGGGGATGGGGTGGTTGGGGAAAGTGATTGAATCCCTTCCTTATCTACATGCCCTGCTTAGAGTTTCTGGGCTCAGTGCATCTGCTACTCTCATTCCTGGCTCCATACTGTGTTTCTGGGATGATCTGTGTCCCAGGTCATTCATTCATTGAACAGTGTATTTACATAGGGATTCCTAAGGACAGTTACAGTGAGTGCCAAATATCTTATATCCCTAAATTAGGGAGAGGGGACTGAGACCTGGTGTCTCTCTTGATTTTCCTTGATTGTCCATCCAGCTGCCCTACTTGATCGATGGGCCTCACAAGATCACCCAGAGCAACGCCATCCTGCGCTACCTTGCCCGCAAGCACAACCTGTGTGAGTGGGGCTCGCTGCAGGGTGTGGGGGATGGTTGCTGTGTCCCTGACTTGGCTGGGGTGGGAGGCTGAGGGTGCACCTCTGTTGCATGGAGTACAGGTGGGGAGACAGAAGAGGAGAAGATTCGTGTGGACATTTTGGAGAACCAGGTTGTGGACGTCCGCATGCATTTCATCATGCTCTGCTACAACCCTGACTTTGTGAGTCTCCCACTGTGTGGACCAGACATGGTTAGAGAGTTAAAGTTTTCCATTCGCATCTTCAGTGGACCGATATGCTATTTGCATTAAGTAGTAGTAGGGATTCTCCATGCTTTCCTGTTCTACCAACAGAGTGACATTCATAAAACAGCATCTTGACAAACAGACTTGAAACAATCCCCACCATTCTTATGATAGGGTTCGGACTCCCCAGCTTAAACAGTCTCTTCATAGACATTCATGTGTACTTTAAAACTCCTTTCATTCCTGTCCCTGACCTCTTCCACGGCCCTTCACATCATGTGCCTCCTGCTGGAGCACAGAGACTCAACCCATGACAAAGGAAAGTACAGGTTAGGGGAGTGGAATGTGGCCTGGTCTTCAGATGTCTGCACAGTGGCGTCCTTGACTCCAGCATGAATGAGGACTTTTCCTAAGGGGCAGCTCAGAGTCCTCCAGAGAAGCTCTGTCCTTTCCCTTCCTCCTTTCAATATCAAACACATCTCAGCTTTATGCACACTATTCAAATGTCTATTCGGAACTTCTGCCACCCCGCTAGGTAGAACGTTGTCTGTTTTCCTGGGTACCTGCCAGATACTGAGTCTGACTCCCAGGAGGTGGTTTGGACCCATGAGTGGTGAGAGACAGTTTCAGGGACCATGTTGTGTTCCTGTCTGACTTTGCATCACTCTGAGAGATGGGAGATGCTACCAGATAGGAGTCTAAGCAGTGGTGTTGCAGGGAATGAAAACCTCACCCTGACACAGGCTGAGGGAAGTTGGCAGCCGAGCCCTGGCAGGTGGGGCCATGCACACCACTGCTGATGCCAGCCCCTCAGGCAGGGAGCTCCTGTCTGAGGGTGGTGACAGCTAATTTCTGCCTCAGGAGAAAAAGAAGCCTGAGTACTTGGAGACCCTGCCTGAGAAGATAAAGCTGTTCTCACAGTTCCTGGGGAAGCGGCCCTGGTTTGCAGGGGACAAGGTAAAAGGGAGGAGTCTGGAGGTGTCACTCTTTCTAGGGTAGAGATTTTCATGCCCACTCATCCTGAGCTTTCTGCAGATCACCTACGTGGATTTCATCACTTATGATGTCCTGGACCAGCACCGTGTATTTGAACCCAAGTGCCTGGAGGCATTCCCAAACCTGAAGGACTTCATGTCCCGCTTTGAGGTGATGCTCCTGCTCTTTTTCACTCTTCAATGCCCTTTTTCCTTTCTGCTTTCCAGGAAGTATTTTTGAATCCCATAGGTTACAAAAAGAACAAGGAGTACATTTTGAGTTCTGGATTTCTGTTAGGACCCTTGGCCACATGTTATCTCCACTGTGACAAATTTATTGACACATCAACCTGCAAGGCTTTAGATAGAATTATCAGGCACGTTGGACAGAGATGGAAACTGGGACTGTAGAGGGGAAGTCATTTGTTCAAGGTCCCAGGTCCAGTGGACGCTGTGCTGAGCTCTCTGTCAGCCTTGGCTTCTAAGGCCCTGGTGGGTGTCTGTCCTGCCTTTTGTCAGAAGGAGCAGCCTGGGTTTCACAGCCCAGGATGCTGTGCAGGGGGAGAGTGAGGCAGGGTGTGTGCAGCTGGAGGTGGGAGGCTGAGGTGAGGCTGGGGGACTGGCAGAGCAAGGCCCAGACAGTGTTGAGAGCTGCTCTGCAGCAGGCTTGGCTCCATCAGATGTCACCCAAGGAAGCACAGGGACCCCAGGATGGTGGCTGGTGCTTATGAGTACACATGTGGGGACCCTTGGGGACTTTATTATGGCTCTTTGGATGGTTGGGATCTTGTTTTCAGCCGTCATCCTCTCTCCTCTTGAATATCTCAAGCGTTCTCTGTGTGAGCTGGGGTCGTACACTGATTTTCACTCCTATTCAGTGTCTCCTCCACATGAGCTTTGGTGTCAGGCCTAGTGGACATGTATGGAGGCCCCATCTTGGGACTGAGTGCAGCAGGGCACAGCAGGCACCTGACCAAGAGTTGCCAGTGGTGCCACATCGTTGCTGAGGAGGACAACCTGCACATCACCTCAGAAAAACTCAAAAGATCTCCCCAGGTCCACTTTTTGTCACCAGCAAAACCTACTTTGGTGCTGATCTGAAGAGGGCCAGCAAGCTCCCTTCTCTTCCCAATCCTCATGTCACGATGCACTTCCTCAGCTACTTCTCCTCAGCTCTGGCCCTGGTCCCTGCTGAGTGGCCTTTGGGTTTATCCAAGAGCTGGCAGGACTGTGGGAAGGAAGCACTGGAGGGGCGGGGACTGGAGAGCTTCAGCCTGAGACCTCCTGAGCCTGACTTGTTGGCTAGAGGCAGCCCTGCATCTCCTTGAACGTGATCTCCACAGATATTCTCCTGATAGGAAGGCACGATATAACTAAGAGCGAGATGGCCTGGGTAGTGGAAGAGTTGGAAATGAGCTAGTTTGGGCTTAGTAGCTTGGGATCCAGTACCAGGTGGAGACATTTGGACTTTCTATTCTCAGGAAACAGATTAGATTGTTGCCCAGCAGTTCTTTGTGGCTCTTCCCTGTGTCTCTGATCATCCAAAAAATTCTCGTGAAATTATGTTGTGAGTCACTCGGTGAGGTCTTTACTCTTCCAACAGGCAACGGATTGTTCTCTGCTCCTTTGTCCTGGTAGATCCATCTCTGTGTGAAATACAGGCATGAATAATTCTTAATGCCTAAAGGACAATGTTTTTGCAAAGGGGGAGTGATAGGGCCTCCTGTCGGGGCACAGGAAGGGAGTGGAACAGAGAGCACAGAACTGGAAAGGCAAGAGCCAGGCTGTCTCCAGCCCCTCCCACTTTCTAGCTGTGTGAGCATGAGGAAGTTCCCTAAACCCTCTCCCTGCACCTCAGGTTCCCTCCTGATAGATGGTGATACATGATCAATCTTGCTGGGTTGTTGAGTGGGTTTTCTAAGCTGCATTGCAATTTCTACTGCATATAATGCATTTTGCATTGCATACTCTAGTCAGTCACTGCAAATTGAAGAATGTCCCTGAAGGGTGTCCTTCCAGACCCCAGAAACTTTGGTGACTGTGTGCTACTCAGCACTGGAGCTCTCCTGGCAGGGCCGTTCCTGCACTGGGGCTGCTCCAGCCCAGTGGGGCAGCAGCCCTGAGCTCCTGCTTCCTCTCACCACTCACAGGGCCTGAAGAAGATCTCTGCCTACATGAAGTCCAACCGCTTCCTCCCAACGCCTCTGTATTCCAAGATGGCCACATGGGGCAACAAGTAAGAGGCTGTAACACCCAAACTGAGAGGAAGGAGCTGTCCTTGGCCCTGCTGGCCCCGGGTTCCTCACACAGCTGGCTCTCTGCACCCAGGCACCAGTCTTCTCAGTCCTT